GTTGATAAAAAAAACTCTATCAATCCGTTAAAAGACGGAAGTTCAAGTCGCTTTTTACGATCCCATTAAGATTAGTGACTAATCCGACGTCTCATTCTCTCAACAGAATCGTCAGACGTAAAATATTTCCCAATAATTACAGAATAATCAAGAAATCTTAGGTGAAAGTGTTGCATTAAAGCATTCTCTTGGATCGTCGGGCGAGTCGTTTAAGGATGTATTGGACCGTCTGTCTCAAAAGTTAATCCAAAGTATCAAAAAATTAAAGTTGGGCAGAATACGAATTCTAATTGATCAAAAATTTTTTAAAAATCACGAAATCATCTTCAAAGCATTCTTTAATATAAATAGGTCTTAATTTCCAAGAAAATGTTGCAACGTTTTATCATCAATATTGCGTCAAACCGATAATCACAGTTATTTTTTAATAATAATTTTAAAACGAACAAGTAAATCCTTTTAAAACTTTGTAGGGACATTTTTACATGTATGAAGAATATAATATTACAAAATGAAATTTTTATCATTGTTTTTTTATAGTTTGTGAATAATTTATTACCTGTTTCTTGAACGTTTACATAAGATCCTGTGTTAAAATCGCAAAATTCAAAAATTAATAACTTTTAAAGGAGCAAGTAAAAAAATTTGAAATAATTCATGACGATTTAGAATGTTATTAAGAATGTTAAATTAAAAATTCACGGCGATCTCATTGATTGTAATATATCTCCAATATATCCTTAAAAACTAGAGCGAAGAAAGTGCCGTCTCACAATTTAATCATCCACGCGAGATACTCGATGATCATTAGAGTCATTCACTAAAAGCTTGACATTGTGAGGGATGGAAGAAAAAACGTCTAGATATGCGACGGCACAATCTTACTCTTCAATAACAATTAATTTATGTTTTTAAGTTTTACACGCGCGTTTGTGTAACTGAAAGCACTTGAAAGCTACGTTCTAATTTATCAGTTTCTCGATTCTTTTTAGATGAAAGAAGTAAGTTGAGTTTAAATTGAATTAAATAAAGATTATATAAACTTTAATACTGATAACTTTTAATAAACTCAAAAGATTATCAATCAAAAGTTTTCACGCCGTTTTTATCGTAAAGATATTTAATATGAAACTTTTTTTTAACGACACAAAGATCGCGAATCTTCGAATAAGATTATGATATAAGGAAAAAAATGCACCATCTGTACGATTCGATTCAAAATACATACATTTGATGATCGAATAAATATACGCACAACATGTTTTCCCATTTGCTTCGAAATCGTGACAAATCTGGAGGCTGCCGACGAGGAATTTCCAAACGAGCGATTCGCATTATTTGACGAGCGAATACGATAATGAGACGAATGCGTAAGGAGGGGATCTCGAGGCTCGATCGTCCCACACATTCTTCTACCGACTCCTTCGCGAAGCCCGAAATTTTAACGTCATGCGATCTGTGCATTAACGAATAGTCCAGGATCTTTGCGCAATTGCCAGGCTGGAGGCTAATTTTAGGGCCCGTCGTAGACGGGCCGATGGGCACGAAGCGCGAAAGATACTCGACCAATAAAAGAAAAATTTAGAAGATTCGAGACACGCGATATAATAATGATCGTGAATGCGGATAATGAATCGATTATAAATTCAAGATCGTAAAAAGAGTTGGAATAAAATAGATTTTATTAATACGCACACTGAGAAAAATCCTTTGATTGTACCAACAAGACGTATATGATTGAAGATATGATTGAAAATGATTTTGGTTAAATCAAACAAGAATTTCTAGTTATCATGCTAAGACTCGATTTTTTATAACTAAAATTTAATAGATTTTATTATAAGGATTTGGTTAGTATTTTCTGGTTGGATCTATAAAATTTCTTGTTACATTAATTTCTTTGTTTACTCTCTTAACTTAACTTGTATTCAATATTTGCCATAAAATGTATATAAAGAATTAGTATTAACGTTAAATCCAAAGTATATATTTTTTTCTCTTACGAGCCGTGCCAGAAAGAGAACGCTAGCTCTTTGATTGTGTGTGTTTAAGCTGCATCCTCTTCTTGCATCATTGTTTATCAATTTAATTTCTAACAAACTAAATTTAAAATAATTTATTCAATAATCTGGATTGTATTTATCTAATAATCTTGTTAGAATTCAGAATATTAAACAGACTTTTGAGATTAGATGGACAAAATTTTAGACGACTTGGTGCTGGCGAGTTTATTAATCAGAAGATTTGATAAATTTAACAGGAAGAAATTAATCAGATTCATCTGGTAATTCCTACAAGAATTCTGGTTCGTCCATTTTCCAACAGACAGGTTGAATCTACCAGAATTCTAATTAATGCAACCAGATTCTTTCTCAGTGCAAAAAAAAATAAGTGTCAAATAAAAATTTATATACTTAAACTAACGCGTTCATTGTTTCATATATACGCAACAATTTATAATCTTAGAAGAATTTAATAATTTTAAATTTAAACAACATTATAGTCTTATTTTAATATTATAATTATCATCTCAAGAATATATAATTATTTAATTCTACTTTAAGAAAATTATCTTTGATTTAAAAATGTTATTTTCTATCCAACATTGTTTCTTTTCTATTCAAGAAAATTAAATCTTAAATCATAAGAATATATTTTTCTTGATTGAACTATATTAAATGGCTTCATTCAAATAAACAATTATATTTTTTTTTAATTAACGCAATATAATCTCATGTCAAAATTTCCATATTAAGACTAAATATATTTTCAAAGCAAGAATGGTCCTTTTCTTCTGTGTACTTAACAAGAATATAGTTATTTGAAAAAACGATAGACAATAATATTAATAAAAATGAAGACTCCTTGTTTATTTCCATTACTTCGCTTTAAAATTTCGTAATAAACTGTACATAATAAAGAACAGTAAGTAAAAAAGTTTCGTCTAATAAAAATAAAATTGGTATATTGCTTGAATAGCGTAAAACGGATAATGGCGTGTCAGATGTGTTGAAAAAATAGTATTGAAATAATATTTGTCACGAAAGCAATGCTGGCCGATATCAAGGATGATGTTGCAGATAGCAGTACGACAACTTTTTTTTTATCTGACAGGTTTGCGTTTCTCTACAGCATGAATCACTGACGAAAGTCCGTCGATCCTAACGAGAATGGTAGGGTAGCGGACTTATCTCATAAACGGCTAGGCCAGTCGGTTCGCGTGCCATTGGCAGTGAAAAACATAGATTGAAGCGTGCCTCTCCTTTTATGAACAAAACTACCGATTGCTTAATCCTTTTTAATAAGAAGAAAGAGAAAGCAAGAAACTCGGCTCATCCGGGATTGTCACCAAAATCGCTTAATGTTTCTTGTTGTATAAAAAAAATAATATTTTATAAATCTTTACAGATAAAATGTCACGTGTGATGTCGATTTTTATATATATTTCTTTATTTTTTCTATATTTTGTTATATATATACTAAAATTAATTGCATTATATAAAAGCACTTTTAATATTTTACAAAGATATAAAAATTAGATTATATGTGATATTTTTGCCATTTATACGTTTTAAATTTATACGTTTTAATATTAAAAATTTTTAATTTTTTTATAACTTTTATGCTTCACTCTTCAAAATTATAAATATGCTTACTATTGCTCAGTAAAGATGTTCAGAAAAAAAGATTTCGAATGCATTGAGAAAAAAACGTTAACTTGACCAAATCATTCAAGTAAATTATTATTTTTTTAATTGAAATATTTAAATTAAATAATACATATTAAATATAACATGACTTCTATTTAATTTAAATATTTCGATATTTCAATTAAAAAAATAATAATTTAGTTAAACGGTTTGGTCAAGTTAACAACTTTTTTTCTCAGTGTGTATGTAAAAAAAGACGTCAATTATCTGTCTTATTTATTTTTATACAGACTATAGCTGCATCTATTTAAATAAAGGCATACATTAAAATTCAAGTTTTAAAAAACAAGAGAAAGAATCGAGAAGCTAAATTAGGAAACGTCAGCAAAGAAAAATAATGTTCTAAACGTAAAAAAAGAATGTTTACGAATGCATATTTTACTATTCGGCTAGATGATAATAAATTCACATTCATACGTGTTCTTTTTCTCGGTGCAGTGTCCCCACTCTTTCTCTCTGACTTTTTCTTTCGCTCCTAATCGGCGATCTTACATCACGCATGCAGTCACAACCGGTTCCCGGACCAGCGGTCAGGTCGTAGGAAGTGTTTGCATCTGACGCAAAGTCGCGACGCTAACAGATATCAAGACGTCCTCGACGAGGTCTCGATTGAAACTTGGCATGATTTAACTGCTTACGATGATCTCAATTTTTCTAGTAAACAAATCCTTGATTTCTATCTCGATTCACGATGGTGATTAAGGTGTTTCAGACGCTTATTTATTTATTTATTTTTCATCGTGTATTTTTTTAACGAAATATAATTTTTCCTTTAACACTTTTTTTGTTCTTGAATCAAATAACGTTCTTTTTTACTCTTTTTTGGACGTTTACTAGAAATTATTTCAACAATAAAAAAAATTTTATAATAATTTTTTATATTAATTTTATATTAATTTTTATAATAATTTACAGATTTATTAAAATAAAATCTGTAAAATTAATTAAATATGTTTTACATATATATATATATATATATATATATATATATATATATACTTGTATTTATTTAAAATAAAAAAATATTTTAATAATATAAGAAATGAAAGCTCAATTAATTTTTGCGTTAAATGTCATTTCTACGAAATATCTTTTATAAATATAATATTAATATTATATAATTTTATTTTTGTGTCGATGATTTATATACGTAGCTTAAACTTTATCTTTATATCTTTTATTGTCTAATTTAAAAATAAGACAAAGACGTCAAATCACAGACTAAATATACGCGCGGTAAAAATACGTGAAAAGATGTAGATTAAGATCATACAAACTCTTAGAACTCACCTTTCTGCAGCTGACCATGATCCGCGTTCATTTTCGCCTGCAACAGAAAGTGCTGCGCTTCACCAAGTAGAATTAGCACGACGGCGATATATGTAATAGACTACTAAAATATTTCGAAGCGGGTTGTCTCACCTCGTAACCTTGTTTCGCGCCTCGGCTGCCACCCCAATAGTCGCTTTCCTTGTCGTGCGGGGCACATTGCTGCGACATAAAAGAGAGTGTCACTATTAGTTCTCGTGGCACATACATCTTCAATGTAGCTCAACTTTTTAATCGTTTAGTTTTAATTGTTAATTTAAAATTTGTATAAAAAAGAGATATCCCTTTCGTGATAGGAGGAAAAATTATACTAACATTTCTTAAATTTTTATATTATATTAATTTATATTAATTTTTATTTAAAAAAATATTAATTTATATTAATTTTTATTTAAAAAATTATATATATTATTTATATTAATTTTTATATTATTTTCAAAATAACTGATTAAATATAAGATTATTACAAAATGAATATATTGAAATATGTATATTGGCTATTTTCTTGAATTTTTAATTTATTCGAAATGTTTTTCTTTAATATTGCGATATATATATCTAATCTACTATATCAAGGAGATATTAAGGAATACAAATATATGTGTATGTATCATTCTGAAAGACTTGTATACTCTTGGACAAAAGTAACGCATAATTTTTTTTCATTTTTTCATTAAAAGTTAAATATCAGCTTTTAAAGAAAAAGTGAAAAAGAAATTATGCGTTAATTTTGTCCAGGAGTATATATGCGAGCTCTTACTGTTCGCTATAAATAACTCAACGTTTCACTAATTAACATTCGGAAACTCCTTTGGAGATTCAGAAGCGTACTTCCGCGGGATTAATCGTCTGTGCCACCTTGCGATGGTTCAATGGCACGCATAGAGCGACCACAGAAGAACCATCGAAGGATGACCCCATTTCCCTTCCCACGGTCCTCTAAACCACATCTATCCCTCGGCATGACCTTCCACACCTCGACAGAGCTCGCGCCAGGTCGCTTCCCCGAGAATTCGGAACAGACTGAGCCCCGTAAACCGAAAGTTCAAACTACTTTCTTCCGAGAGTTTCCCATTCGAGTTTCTATCCGAGTTTCCCATTCGAGTTTCTAAAATATAAAATATTGTACACATCTTCTTCAGAATTATAATAGAAATAACGTTTGCCTGTGAAATACATCAATTTTTGTTTATATAAAACTATTTAATGATATATCGAAAAAGCAAAATGCGTACATCGCAAAAACTACAGAGTTCATGTAACCAGGAAATTGATAAATGAATAAAAAAATATTATTCTGTAAACATCCTATTACTTTCTGACGTATACGATGAATAGAATATTGATGAATATTTGATGGCAAGTCTTTTCGAAGACCGAACCCATCTCTTACGTCACACAATTTTACATGTATAATTTCTTACGTCATATAATTTTATATATATATATACTTCTAGATGCGTAGATTTATTATAAAAATATTTATTAGTATGAAAAATATTTCGAAGCATTTCATAAAATAAAAAAATTAATAAAAAAATAATATTAATAAAAAAATTCGCGTAACATTAAAGAAAAACGCTTTTACTTTGATAGAGCCTCATGATATAATCAGGGTCAAGGAGCTGGATATTGGATCCGAAGAAGACGACATGAACCGAGTCTGAAAAGGGGACAAAAATCGTGCCCATCCTGAAGAAGGGCTAGTAGCCCTTCGAGCTACAGGTGGCTCGTCAAACGATCCGATTCTGTCGGAATCCTGTAAGCGGCGAATAGAGCGAAGATACAGACGTCTCTGGACCAAGGATGGATGATGGACTGTCGATGATTCTCCAACGAAATCTTTGCATCACGAAGATCGTGATGCGAGACAAGGGAGACCCTACGAAGACGCGGAGCTTCCCTGACCTACGGAAGTCTGTGGGACGATCTGTGTCTATTTTAAAGAAGAGAAACCAGAGGAAGAGAGTCGAGGTAAGTGGAAGACGTATTCGAAAGCAATCGACTTTGTTAGCGGCTAAGTGGGAGAGATGGTAGGGGTTGAGATATGAGGGAGAAAATCTCATCTCCCTTAATCCAATCGTATGTTACCACATGTCGCATAATAACAGCTACGTGGCTGTATTTAAAATCAGATCTAGATAATGAATAATACGGAATAAAATTCTCGATATTTAATTCTCGAGTTTCATAAAATGTTCAAACAATCAACAAATCACGTCGAAACATTAACATTTGAGCAAAAAAAATTTTTCTTAGAATCACACTTTTTCTCAAAGATAATTATAACACTCATTAAATAATATGAGAAATTTAATTCAATCTTTTTGTCTTACTCAAGATAATTTATGATCCAGAAAAAGATAAATAGGAAAAAAAGTGTAAATTATAATTACGTAACGGCAAATATAGACAAATATTATTACACCTTGCTCGCACTTCGCAATCGTAAGATAAAAATACACCAAGACGTACTTTTTTTTCCGAGGAAATAAAAACGAAAAATATGCATAAAATATAATCGTTATTTCGAAATAATCCAGTAACGTATCTCACGCGCGCAAAAATGTAGCCGTACACATCGGCATCGGAGATATCAAAAGCAGCGGACGTATCAATCCAAATTGAATCTAGCGGCTCTCTACGTGTGCGCGGTTAAAATTCAGTCGAATAATTTCCATATCGGTATCAACGATATGTACACCAAAGTGGCAGCGAGCCGCTCGTCGAGCCCTTACGTCCAGGTTTGCGCCCTACGTGCCCGACAGAGAAGAACGTGCCGGAGGCAACTCCGGATTGGTAATCCAACCTACCGCGGCTCGCTCGAAGGGAAGATATAGAGAAGGAAGAAAAAAAGAAAATACATTTTAGCTCGCATCCAGGCACTGCAGCCAGTTTCACCACCGCGCCAGCGCCCGTTTTCCACCCACCGCCGCTCCCCCCTCACGCACCCCCTCCCCCCAGGCCCTCCTTTTCCACCTCGTACTCCCTTTTACGCCCTTCTTTATCTCTCCGTCTCTCCCCCTCGCGCTTGTCGTTGAGCGTCCGCGAGTGTGTACGTGAGTACGTGGTCGAGCCGATGGTCGAGAAGAGCGTCCCGATAGAAAAAGGACGCCGACGCGCGGCGTCGGTAGGTGGTCGGGTAGTCGCGAAAAAAAAATCAAACAGATAGGAGAGTCGGGTAAGGAGGCGAGGCGGGGGGGGAGGGGGGAGGAGGGAGTGAGAGGCAGGGAGAAATGAAAGGGAGGAGCGGGAGGAGAGGTGTGAGCGAACGGGAAGAGAAAAAGGGCGGAGGATAGACGGGGGGCGAGAAAGAAAGAGATCACGTGCGTATATGTGCGACGCGAGGGAGAGGGAGACGGAGCGGATGCTCGAGGCGGTATCCCGATGGCGGGGGAGAGCGGCGCATGGGCAGCCGCTGGAGGGGGCGGGGGGGGGAAAAAAGGTGTAAAAAAATGTCGGAGCCGAGGAAACGGGAGGAAAAAAATCGGGCCGTCTCTAACGGGGGTATGTAGAGAGAGAGAGGGGAAGAGGGGGAGGGGGGACGGGAGAAGGAGGAGGGATGGGAGAGAAGAGCCGAGCCGGGTGGGTGGAGGGCGAACAAAAGAAGGACGGTGGACGGGCGTAAAGGAGAGGAAAAATCGTGGGACGGAGATGAAAGAGAGAAGGCGGGAGAAAAATCGAGAGCGCGCGAAAGACGAAGAGATAAAACGAGGGGGAGGACGAAGACGGAGAGTCCGGGAAGAACGGGGCGAAGCGAAGCAACGGACGAGGGAGGGGGGAGGAAGAAAAAGAGTGCGAGAGGTTAAGAGACGGATAAGAAAAGGACGGACGGATAAAGGGGAGGAGGATGGGAAAGCGGTACCGAAACGGAAAGGGAAAGAAAGAGAAAGAGAGCCGGCCCACACCGTGCACATGCGTGACCGTCCGTCCGCGTACGAGGCGGCGGGTATTGATCAGCCAAAGAGCGCCACGACGCCGGGCGTCCTTTTGCGAGCCTTGCTTTTTTCGGCGCGGACGGGGGGGGCGGGGGGGGGGCGCGTCGTGTGCGCCGTTCGCGAAAGGAGGATGAGTAGAGAAGTCGATGGTTGAGGTAGAGCGGTGGAAGGAGGGTGAGACGGTGAAGGGTGGGATGCAAGGAGTGCCACGACCTAGCCCAACGAACTATCCTGGCGTGACGTCACTCTTTTCCTTTCGTCGCGTCGCGACGACCGACGAGGGGTCCCGGGAAGGAAAATCATTTTTATATCTCGGCGATGTTATTCCTTAAGGGAGTCGCGCGATTGCATATTGTTCCCGACCCATCGGGGATCGGGAATGCCCCGCGACGAATCCGTTCGACGGCGTGGTTTGTTTACGAAAGCACGTGGTCGCGAGGCGCGTTGTCACAACAGGGTGCCGGACATAATCTTTCGCTATTCGCGGATTACGTTCGTTTATCCATTCGCGATAGCAGAGGCAATTAGAAGGTTTCGGTCTGTACTTCGCGACGATTCAATTAGTACAAGTCTCCGTGACGGCAACAGCAATCGGTAGCCACAATTCTCGACTATTATGCAGATGAGATAGCCTCGTTGATCTCGTGCGTTGCATGCAAATTATAGTACTTTCGCTGTAAAAAAAGTATATAAAATACACATATAATCGGTGTAACAATTACGCTATTTATAACGGAAATATATAAATTCATGTACTTTTACAAAAATTAGGTCTTTACTCTCTTTATTGTAAATATTCGTTTATATTTGATGAGAAATTACAAGGTTAAAAGTGTAATTTTTGGATTTTATGTAAATGTACAATTTTTTGTAACATTTATATAAAATTTAAAAATTACACTTAATAAACGAATTTACACAATAAAGAGTAAGATGACTAATTTTTGTAAAAGTACATGAATTTATATATTTTTGTTATAAATAGCGTAATTGTTACACTAATTATGTATGTAATTTTAAATTAAATTTAAAATGTGAAATTGTATAAATACATATACAAAATATATTATTACATTAACATTTCTAGAAATCTATTTCTAACATGTAAATTTATTAGTACAAGATGCTTACTTATCATTTAAGATAATAATTTTATCTATGAAATATAAATTTACTAATGTATGTAAATATACATCTTTAATAGTTAGTCTCAATATTATCTAC